TGAGTGCCCCTGGAAGGCCCTGATTCGATTATGCCCAATACTTGTTCCTCTGTGTCTGGAACCCGAACATCGATTGTCGTCCACTATCTTCCTGGCCCTTTGTTGGCGTGAGTTCTTTCAGCTTCTGCTATCTTACTGTAGCATTTCCCCTGAACTAATCGCAGATCCGCAAATTCGTGAAAGGAAATTCAAAGTAAGTCACAGTTTGACAAATTATTGCTATTATTGACAAGGGCTATCACCTGTACCTATCTGTTAATGACAAAAAACATCATTGCGGCTGTGTCTTTTCATCAAAAAATTGTAGAACAGAACTTTTTAGATATCAAAAATTTTCGCAATTTGAAGCAAAGATCGTAATTTTTTCCTTTGATTGCTTAAGTAGAGTAATTCCGGGAAAGATGAACCACCTTTTTTGATTCGACTCTATCTTCATAAAAAATAGCTTTATTAACGTAAAAAAAATATTGTCACAAACATTTTAACTAACTGCAATCAGAACTGTAACTAAATACTAAAAACTCGGACATATTTGCTGACAAAAAAATAAAATAAAAAACTGTTATATGGTCCAACTAACCCGAAATTTGCGGGATGGTTGAACCACCAATTTGGGACAGTTGGACCACACAGGGAGAGATGAAATGTAACACATGATAAGTAACAAAATTAAACGTAATTAATTTTTTTTAATTTTTTTATTAATAAGTTTTTTTGCGACATTTATTGCACATAATTTCAAAGTTTGTACACGACTCATGAAACACCTTCAGCAACTCTTATGCTAAGATCTGAATGACGGCTTAGGAAAAGATGTAGCGAGTCGTATTCTGCCATTTTTGTGATTGCGTTAAAAGGATGCTTCAACGTTAACTGTTCAGTAACAGCAAACGTGATATGTCGCATATCATTCCGTGTTGGGGCAAAACCAAATTTTTGCAGCTTTTTTACATGTGCTACTATCGTCGCTTCATTTTCTTCTCCTAAAGTAGGCGAAGAACTCAATGAGCCAGTTTTTTAGTTTTCCCCACGGCTTCCTTGTAATTAGAGTAGCTTGGGGAATATTAAAGTGTCTGGCTGCGGCATTGACCCCCATTGTTTTTGTATCTATAGCCTCTACAGCATTTTTGAGGTCTTCTTCGGTCCATCTAGCTCTTAGTGAGCTCAACTTCCGTTGGTATTTTGTAGGCATTGTATAAAACAGAAAAATGAAAACCGGTTCAACTGTCCCGATTTACTCTGGTCCATCTATCCCAAATTTCAGGGATAGACGGACCACCCAAAAACAAAAAATCTATGTATTAATCGGCTTTTACATCATTTACTTTGTCCAGAGTGGATACCATTCAATGTATTTTTAACTACAAATCGCATTTTAAAACTTTCTTTTATTTTGGCATGGATGGCATGGATGGCAGTTTTCTCAAAACAGGCTGGAATTCAAGAAGTTTTAGATTTGCGTGTTTTTTTTTTTAGTTGCAAAAACCACTTGAACATGACGCTGCTTTTTTCGAAGTGTCTCAAAAACCATTCGAGCCACAGAATTCGTTTTGGCATCGTTGGATAGAGAATTGAATGGGGGGGTCGTACCTCCCCATGACCCCCCCCCCTGGGTCCGCCCTTGAATTATGTCCAATATTTCTTCCTCTGGGTCTGGAAACCGAACATCTATTGTCGTCTACTATCTTCCTGGAGCCAATCTCCAGTATCTCCAGCCCTTTGTTGGCGTGAGTTCTTACAGTTTCTGCTATGTTTCTGTGACATTTCCCCAGAACTAATCGTATATCCGCATATTTGTAAAAGAAGCTTCAAAGTAAGTCACAGTTTGACAACTTATTGTTATTATTGACAAGGGCTATCCACCTGTAACTATCGGTTGATGACAAAGAACGTAATTGCAGCTTTGACTTTTCATCAAAAAATTGTAGAAAAGAACTTCCGTAATATCAAAAATTTTTGTAATTGAAGCAAAGGTCGTAATTTTCCATTTCGAATGCTTAAGTTTTTCAATATGCTAACAATTAATCATGAGAATTTTAAAATAATGCTTAATAACAAAGTTGAAATTCGATTTTCAACTGTTAAAACTTTTTAGATATTATCCAAGTGAGGTCCTATTACCTCTTCAAAGGAATGACGTTCATTTTCAATCACCCTGTATAGAGCAAAATCAACGAAGAAAAAGGTTCGGTTATTTTGTAAATTGTCCCTAACTTTGTTATTTCGCGGAGTATTGGTATTCGATAAACACATTTGCATGGTACTTTTTACGTACAATCTACTAGCAAAGCATAAACATATCCAGGGTGTCCCACCGGGATTCACCGCGATCGATTTCTGACAAACTATAATCATACTATATTTGAAAATTGACGTCGCTGGATATTATTTCCTTATTTTTGTTTGAGATACTATTTTCTAACATAACTCTTTGATAGCATCGATTAGTGTGACTCTAATGCTGCTTTTTTCAAATTTCTCTTCTTCTTCAAATTTTCTGTCTTTAAATTTTTGTTGCCAAATTGTTTGTCAAATTTAAAAATGCCGAGAATCTTATATTAATTTTCGGTATTTTTTTTTGCTTCACTTCAGTAATTTGTTTTGCTTCACTTTTTACTCAAACACGCTCTATTTTGTAGAGTTTCACTTAAACATACTGACATTCTGGAGGACTTTTACGCGAAAAATTACAAGAGAAATTTATAGCTTTGTAAACATTTTACAAAAACTTTTTTTTGTCGAATTCGGGACAAAAGCGAAAATAAATTCCTCCGGTTTTTCCCCGAAAACCATTAAATTTTTCTCCAAAACCGATCACAAAACTAAAAGTTTTTATTCGCAAACGCAAAAAATTGCACTATTTTTTAGTTTTACTTAAAATACTGACAATCTTTAGATATTTTCTGTGAAAAATTGTAAGATATATTTTATTGGAACACTCGCCTCCTTAACCGCTGTGCAAAACTTCATGGACAAAACCGTAATAATTATTTCTGGGTGTTTTTCCCCAAAAATATTTTCGGAACTGAAAAAGCCAAAGTTTATAATCATTTATTTGGGAAAGTCTTTGAAACTGGGTTTTTTTCACTTTTAGGTGAATGTTTCTAAACAACATTGTCTCTAAACAGAAAAACCGCGTTTTTTCTAACATTTTACTGTAAAATACTGACAAACTTCGTCGACTATCTTTGGACTCAGTTAGCAGCGAAAATCTAGATGACTTTTCTTAGTTGTTTGAACAAAGTAGTAAAACGTTACTCAGAAAAAATGTTGATGATCTTTTTATAGATGTGAAAATTCAGTTTCAGGTCTCTTAAAGCTTTAATAAATTATTATAACTCATTAACCGATGAGTTATAACTCGTTAACTCAGAGAGGGGCAACAACTCAATAGCGCAACTCAACACAGTGTTACGCAGGCCTAGTTTGCAAAGTTCACTGACTGGCACAGTGTCGTAAATAAGATCTACAAAAAGAGATCTAATTCTTGAGACTTCGCCATTCTTTTCCCCAACAATTGTGTTAGATGTTCAAAATAGTTGTCAGCTTTTGTATTACCAAGAAAATTATGACACGCTTTTACGAAAGCCGCCCAAGCTTTTTTCAGCTTTGTTCAACTTCGAATTGAAAACTTCATCCGTCATAAGCTCTCGTATTTGCGGAAATACAAAAATCTCTTCTTTTAGTTTCGCGTCACTGATTCGAGGAAATTTTGTTTTGAGATATTGAAAGAGTGCACCGTCCTTGTTCACAGCTTTCACAAAGTTTTTCATGAGTCCCAACTTTATATGAAGTGGTGGCAGAAAAAGATTCTCGCTTGGAACTAGCGGTTCTTGAGATACATTTTTAAGTTCAGGAGTCAAACTTTTTCTTTGTGGCTAAGTTTTCACTTTGTAATGTTTGTCTCTTGCACGATTGTCCCACTCACATAAAAAATAGCAAAACTTGTCCAACGTTTTGTTAATTATCAGCGGCAGTGCTATCATGGTTTGCAACTTGCCTTCCTTTCTACATTTGCGGTGTTTCTCTAACTTTCGCCGTCTTCTCAGCTCTTTTCTTTTCTCCTTCGAACTCAATGTCTTCGTTTACTCGATCCTTCCAACATTCCTCTTCGTTGTTTGCTACTCTTTCCATCTCTGGAAGAGGCTAAGAAGAAACTTCAGACTCTGGATGTAATTATTTGACTTCAC